AGTGGTTAAATTCCACTGAGTTCAATCCCTGGTTCCAAAGAAAAGAAAGGAAGGAAGAAATGATAAGGTATGGATATATTAATTATCCTCAGTTGATGATTATCCAATATGTATGTAAATCAAAATATCAAATTGTATATTATAAATGTGTATAAATACTATGTGTCAATAAACCATCTTTTAAACTTACAAAAAAATTTAAAAGTTATATATTTCATTTTATTAGGAACATTTCATGTTTCTTAATCTACATATAATGGATGCATTATGGATATAATGGATATATGAATGTTTAAATCTTTAAGGAAGTAATTTATTGTTATTGAAACAAATGAAAGGGATGAAAGTAAAAAGGAAAATCATCTATAATTGTTTTCAGTTGAGTTCAACATTTGTGAATAATTGAGACCAGAAACAAGCAGCCTAGTTGATTATTAAACTAATTTACTTGATTTTTCAGCATTAAATAAACAAAAATTTGTGTTATTTGACTGAAGTAACTAGCTTGTCATTTGCAGCCCAAATTATCAAAGCCCACAGACACTTGAAGAGAATATTTATTTTTATGCCAAAAGATGAAAACTATGACTATTATCAACTACTTGGGCAAGAAACAAGTATGGATGGAGAAAGATCAAAATAAGGGAAAGAACTGAATGCCTCTTTCATACACATATAGTGCCTAGTACAATATATGTAGGCATTAAAATGTTTGACAAAGGTTCAATAGAGAGTTGTTAGCACATTGTTTTTGCTTTTAAAAAAAATTTTATTAAAATGACAATAAAATATCTCATAAATTGAAATCCTCCTGAGCAACAAAACGACTTTACCCCTTACTTGAGCCAAGAGAGCTGTCTCCACCCAAATCCAATGTATTAGCCAGCTTTTCATCACTATGACCAAAATACGCAATAAGAACAACCTAGAGGAGGAAAATTTTATTTTGGTTCATGATTGCTGAGGGTTAGTCTATAGTCAGCTGAGTCCATCGCTCTGGGCCCATTGTGAGGCAGAAGATCATAGTGAAAGGGAATAGTGAAGGAGTTCTCCTTTCACAGGATCACAGAAGTAGAGAGAGAGAAGGTGGGGAGGGACAACAGGGAAGAACTCTTCCAGGACACAAACCCAGTGACCCTCCTCTTGCTATGCCCCACCTGCATACAGTTAACTATCCAGTCCATTCAAACTAGGATAGACTGATTAGATTGAAGTTTTCACCATGTAATCACTTTACCTCTGAACATTCCTGGATTAACACAGGAGCTTTGGGGAGCACTTCATATACAAACTATAACATCCAGACTACCTTGTTCTTTTGTCCTGTTTCTAGCCTGTGCTTCCAGATCCCAAAATTCCTATCTCTTGTATTCTACCATCCTGCCTTCTTGTGGGACTTGGTTGATTACTGTTTTCTGAACTTAAAATAAGCTCTGCCTTTAGACCTTCCTTATTCTTCACCTGGCCCAGAATGTACTTAGCTTCCAGTCCAGCAATGGTTTCCTGACCTACTTCTACATATCGTCCCAAACACATGCCCTCTTATCTCCTGGTCCAAGAAAAAACTTTTAATTCCCTATCCCCAAAATATGATCAGTTTCTCCCCTTCCCTAGCATTAACTTACACACATTGGATTCTCCCTACCCAATTCAAGCCCTCCAAATCAAAGGCTATTTTTACTTATCTTTGTGATCTTGGAATTTAGACAAGCCAGGAATAAAACAACAAAATATATGAATGCTGAGTTCTGAATTAAAACTGAAGGAATACTGTTATATTCCTTAGGACCTATTTCATGCCACTTTTTCCAAGAGTGGTAATGATTTTGTCCTGACTCATTCCACTGTATTTTGGATGAGTTCCCAGATTTCTGAGTCCCAGCACAACCACTTTTTCTTAAACCTTACTGACCTCTTCACCAGGAATTCTACAAACAGCTGCCATCCAGTAACCAGTGAAACTCATATCTGCTTACTTAATGGTGCAAAATTAGCTCAAAGATGTACAAAGGCTTATAAAACACTGTGTTCTTGCAACACAGAGACAGGTGCAGTGTATATATAGAATCCAAAAAGGGAGGGGACTCTTGACCTGCCACACTACCTCACCAGAGGGGGAAGCAAATATCCATTCCATTTTACAGCAACAAAGGTACATGATCACTGGATCCTTGTCAACTGCACTGCCAGCAATTTTTACACATTTCTCAGACATCTCTTTCTAGGCTTCAAGAAGTCCAACTCCCTCCCTGTTTTCAGATACTGATCTGAAGACCAGCTGTCATCCAGATGTTAGTGAACCAACTCTGCCCTCTGGCAAGTCACTGTGGTACTTGCCCAATATTTGAACTGAATCTGAACATGTGTTGGGTAGCTCAGACAAGCTTAACTCTTCGTTTCCTAACAGTCTAGGCTTCTGTACCAGGTACAAATTAACTAGCTCACAAGTCTTATGAGATTTAACATCTCACTAAACCTTGTTTTTCTGTCTATATTAATATTATATTATTATATCTAAATCATAGGTTGTTATTAAGAAGAAAAAAATAACAGCAGGCACAGTGACAAGAATCCTTCCCATCCATATTGGGGAATCGTAGTACATGGAACATACATACTTGGTGCAGGAGGGAAATGCTACATTCAATAAGACGAGGATTTAGTCAGTCAACCATGCTGATCGAACAGTTACTTTGTGCCAGGCATTGGGAATAGAAAGACAAAAAAAAAAAAAAAAACATTGAAAGTGATGGGCACACACACACACACACACACAGGCAAGATGACAATTCAACATGACTAGGGCCATAGCAGAGGGGGGCCTCAAGGTAGTGAGATCTCAACCCTGTCTGGGCTTTCCAGGAGAGGAAACCTCTGAAGACAAGTTGGTGAAGGTGTCCCAGGGAAACTAGACAGCAGAGCAGGAAGAACATTGACTTGATCCCAGGGGTAGGAAGCACAGTGATTGAGAACTCATGTTCTGGAATCAGAGAGACTCTGGATTTCTACCTTAGCATTTCAACTCACTATGTAGGTCACCATAAACAAGTTTTTTAACATCTTCATGCTTCAGCCATAACGTGGGACTAACTTGCCTCAAAGGGTTGTTCACAGAATTAAATGAGATAGGGCACATAAAGTGTTTAGACAATATCTCACACACAGTAAATATAATAGCAAGTGCTTACTGAGCTTCTTCTCACTGAATGTTATGCATTATTCTTATCTGGGAAATGAGGTGTGCCTGGCTAATGAGACTATGCCTCATCCCTCAGCAGGAGGGAGCTCTGGAGGAATCTAAGCAAAGGAGTGGGCTGATTATATCTGATCATTAGAAAATCACCCCAGGACAGTGGCAGAATAGAGGGTGAGTTGTAAGGGAAGAGGCTACAGGCATAGCATAGGCAACTAAGGCAAAAGACACTAATAACCAAGTCTGGACAGCAGTAAGTGGGAAGGAAATAAAGGAGATCAACCCTGGAGGTACTTGGGGAAAACAATCAACAGGATATGAAATGTGATGACCAACTAGTGTGGGGTTGGGTAGAATGATGAAGGAGGATCCAGGGATACTATCAGATCTCTGAAAAGAAGAGGAGTGGTTTGTGATGGCAAATGGATGAGCTCAGTTTTGGTCATACTGCTTCTGAGGGGAGCTCCCAGTGGACAGGTCAATTAGTCTGTGGGTCTGGAGCTCAGTGGGAATACTCAGAAAAGCTATAAAGACCAGGAGCTCATGTGCAGTGAAACCTAAGTTGTGAGTGGGTATGTTACTGAGTGCATACAAGCAGAATGAGAAGAGAATCTTGGGGACCCTCCACATATAAAGGACAAGTGAGAGAAAAGAATATTACAGAAAGAATATTACAGTATAGAGAAAAAAGAAATAAAGGATGGAAGAATAAGCACTGTTATAAATCCTCAAGGAGTAGAAAATGCAGTAGATATATCTTAAAGGCAATGTGAAGTCAGAGAAAGGTCATTCTAGTTAAACAAGGAAAAGACACGCCTGTGTCTTTATATATGTACATACTTTTTTATACACTGAGAAAAATGAGCTGATGGAGAAGTAAAACACATTTCTCTTTAGAATTATCCCCATCTGCATTCACTTTTCGAGGCCCCTAACCCTCACTTCCATTTTCACAGCCTCCACCCCAGTGCCCCATGAGGGATGACTCTCTCTCATGACACAATTTTGGTAGTCTCTTCCTAGACCCACAAACCACAAAGATGCTGGCTGGTACCACTTCATTCCAATCCTGTCTCTTTATGTTGCCTTGAGATTCCCAGGGTGGACTCAGGCAGGGGACGGACAGTCCTCTGGAAACCATAGGAATGACTCTTGAGGTCCTTGATATTCATCCTACTAGAAACCACCATTTTCTGCAGTGGCACAATGGCCCCATGAGGGCACACACTGTACTGGCCTAACTAAGCTGGGTGAGACTGAAGAATTGAATTTTAATTTTATTTCATTTTAATTAAATTGAAATTGCCACATATGGCCAGTGGCTAACATATTGGACAGTGCAGCTCTAGACCATTCCAGCCAAGCAGACCCTAGCACCAGAGTAAAAAACTGATTGTTTCACAATGGTGGGAACAAGCTGTACCGAGAGGGATCAGGTGACTTTGCCCCTATGTACTCGGTGGGGACTACTACACTCTCCAGGGGAAGCCAAAGCAAGACTGTCAGGGCAGTTGAAGATGATCATGAGAATGAGACAAGGTCTAGCTGGGATCTAATGAATATGGAAATAAAGCAAAAGGAGGGCTAAAGATGGAAGTGGAGGGGCGAAAGAAGAGAGTTATCTCTCTCTCCCTGTGGACTTAGTACTCTTACCAAACCTGGTAAATTCCAAAACCTATTAGATCTTTCTCCACTACCCCTCTTTATTGGAAAATTTAATGGGAAGACCATTAAAATTCCTAATGCAGACCCTTCTTTCTACAGAGGAATAAACTGAATTCAGGAAAGGTGAGTGAGTTGTCCAAGATTATATATTGAATCTGTAGCAGTGGGATCGACCCCTCAACAATTTGTCTTTTAAAAGAAGGCGGGGCTGCGGAAGGAGACCTGCAGGTACACAATGAGCAGGCAGAGGGAGCCCCAGAGGAGGCACCAGCGAAGGGAGAAGAAGTTGTAGCCGAAGCCAGCCTGGACCCTCGGCTTGGAGGTATCAGAGAAGGCGTCTGTCGCCTCCTCCTCCAGCAGCTTCTCGCTGGGCTTCCAGTGCATGATGCCCTCCTGGCAGGCCTCACAGAATTCACTTCTGTGTGGTCCGCTGTCAGGGCGGCTGGCCACGTGGATGCGGTACTGGCCGCCGTCCTCCTCGTAGCACTGCTCGCGCAGGCTGGTGATGAGGTTGTCCACCAGGCCCTCAATGTTCTCCTCCAGCATGCTGGACTCGTCCAGCCTCGCGGTGCCGCACTCAAAGCAAAGCTGCTTGAAGATGCGCATGCGCACTGATCCCATCCGTTGGGTTCTATCCAGGTGCATGTGGAAGAGAATAACAATGTTGGCCGACTGCCAAGTGTGCCAGCACCAGGAACAGTGGAACCTGCGGGATGGGGAAAGAGGAATGGAAAAGGTGAACCTGCCAGTGACATCCCACCCTGGGAAACTCAGAAAGGAAAGGCCTCTGCACCTGAGCCTGGGAATGGAAGTGTTTATCACTTACAGGTTCATTAACGCACTGAGGTTGACCAGTAACCGCTTCCTTCTAGTCCCTTGGGACTAGGGCAGCGTTCTCAGGAGCCTTGCACTGGAGCCATCTGGCAACCAGCAGCGCTCTGTAATGAGCTTTCTGCATGCCTTCCTGCAGCCCCTCTGCTTTCCCAAGCCTAATGCATGCAGGGTTTGCACCTGAACGCTGCACAGGTCACTCCCCTTCTCTAGGCCTCATTTCCAATCTGTGACATGTAATGTGATGGTCTCCAATAAGGGTCTCTCCACTCAGCCTTCCTGTAACTATGATAAAGAGGATGGCCTGCACCATCTGACTCATGCATCTTCCTTGCTTGCTTGGAGAAGAGAAGCCAAGCACAGATTCTGGTACACGGTAGGTCTTTAGTAAACCACTGAGAAGGATGGACAGAGGGGTGATGAAAGACTGGATCATAGAAGGACTACCAAGTCTGGTCCCTATATCTTGACAACAAACTCTCCCCTGTACCTGGACAAGTAATCGCTAGATCCCATTTCAGCCCCTCAGTGAGCACCAGAAAAGTAGATCTAGATGCCTTTTCCATCATCACCTCTCATACACATATATACAAAATACTTTGTCTAACCTGGAACTCTAGAGTCCCAACCTCAGGAAGTACAGAGGAAGAGGCCTGGGGCTCATCTAGCCAATCCCCACGCCTCCTGCTCTCACCAATGTTTGCACACTTCCAGTGATGGAACATTTGTTACCTCTTGATAAGTGCCTTCCATCCCTAAGATGAACCCTTTCTAGGACCCTGTGACTGAGTCTTCAGATGCTGTCTGGTGTCCACTGGGCTGGTTCTGGCCTTTTCTATGCCCAGTGTATAATGGCCTTGAAAGACCTCTAATGATGAATTCAATTCAGCCCAGCAGGCACCACTCAGCTTGTGCTGTATTTCAAGCACTAATCAGTCCAGGCTGAGGGTAAGAGATGAATCAGCCAGCCCCTGATCCCTGGAGGCCTCTAACAACATGACCACAGAACAGTCTCAGCACCACCTGAAACAGGGTTGACAGGGCAGAGGAGCTTGACTGGTCCTGAAACAGAAGCCCATCCCCAACACACACTCCATAGAAAAGCTCAAAGATGAAGTGAGTATATGCACTAACTTTATATGAGTATATGCATATGAGAATAAGCATAGGAATAGCCATTCTCCAACCTCCTTGAGGCTAGCTGGGAGCCATAGGCGACCAGTCAGGAACAGCACCAGTTGAGCCCTGAGGCCAAGAGGAAACAAGAACCTGTCCAACTCAGTTCCTAAAATCCTGAGTCCCCACACCCAAGTCTCCACCCCTTTGCATTCCTTCCTCCAAGAAACTCAAATGCTTCAATGTTTTCAGTCTTCTCCTTCCATACTTTTTTTTTTTTTTTGTACTGGGATTGAACTCAGGGACACTCAACCACTGAGCCACATCCCCTGCCCTATTTTGATTTGTATTTAGAGTCAGGGGCTCACTGAGTTGCTTAGTGCCTCGCTGTTGCTGAGAATGGCTTTGAACTAGTGATTCTCATGTCTCAGCCTTCCAAGTCACTGGGATTACAGGTATGTGTGTCACCATGCCCAACCAACACCTTTTTAAGTAATCCAATACAAAAAATTATCCAATACAAAAAATAAATAATCCAATACAATTCAATACAAAATGTTTCCTCTCCCTCAAGCCAGACCCCAGATCTAAAATCCAAACATTTTAGACCTGTGTAAGGGAGTAGGGATTAGTTACAAATCACTTTACTGAGATGAGATAGAAGCACAGAGAATGAGAGAGTCATCCATGTACACACAACTAGTTAAGAGACAGCTTAACTTTCTCTGAGCTCAGTGGTGCATGCCTGTAATCTCACCAGCTCAGGAGGTACAAGTCAACCCCAGCAATTTAGTGAGGCCCTAAGCAACTTAAACCCTGTATCAATACATGATTTGTATTGTAGCTCCATGGTAAATTGTCCCTGGGTTAAGTCTCAAGTACTGAAAGAAAAAAAGAAAAAAAAAAAGGCAGGTTCAATTTAATTTTTGCAGATCTTGAAGCAAGAGTTAAAATAAACTCCCTACCTATAGCCTACTTCCTTCTGTTTCCACCCTTAGAACCATTCTGCACCACAAGGGGCTTCACACATACGCCAGTGTGAAGAACCCAGTCTCTGCTTCTATGTTCTATACACACCTCCAAAACACCTCCACCACTTCTTTGGGGATTCAAAGACCCGGGGAGGACAGTAGGTGGGGGAGGTGTTTTGGAGATGTGGACAGAGCATAGAAGGGGATTCAAAGACCTGTGCAGATACCCTGTTGGTGGGCTTGAGACAGTTTGGGCAGGGAATTTTGTGGACCCAGTTCCAAATTACAGGCCTTAATGATCTAAGGGAAGTCCTACCCAAAGTTAAGCCTTTTTGTCACAAACTCATAGATAAGAGAAATAAAAGAGATCTGATTGATCATCATCTAAGGCCACCACCCTCGTTTTGCAAATGTGAAAACTGAGAACCAGAGAGGAGAGAGACTTGCCCAAGCTCACAGAGCTATTTAGCTATAGAGCTAGTTTCTATCACATAACTAATGGCCAATAACTATTTCTGTATTCAAATCAAGTTGTCTTTAATTTACTGAACAAGCAGACCCAGGACCAGAGGACCAGCCTCTCTTTTTCCAGTGGACCTCAGAACCCCTCCTTTCCATTCCAGCCACTCTTTGTCAGAGATTGCAGAAGCATTAAAGCTCTTTGTTCATTGTGGAAAACAGAGACCCAAAGATGAAATGTAACCTGCCCAGTGCCACCCAGGGAGTCTACCATTAGAACCAGGGCCTCTGTGGAGCACCTGGACTCCTTTCTCTGCTCCCCAACCTGAACTAACACAGAGTGAGAGTAACCACAGCCCCAGGCTCTGTCTCTCCTTGGACGATGGTGGCCCAGGGCTGTGACCCGGGGTCTGTGTGCAGGGCTTCTCCCCACTGGGCCTCTCACCTGCCTGAGGCATGCTGCTCTAGGTACTGCTTCCAGCCAGGGGCCAGCTCATTGGGCTTGAGGTTGGGGTCTATGATGAGTTCCCAGCTGTCAGCCGGCTTTGCTACCTCCATCTTCTCATAGAAGACTTTCTTCCACTCACAAATGGTCAGGCTGGTACACATGGTCCTGTTGGCAGGGCTGCAAGTTTGAGTGAGAATAAAGAGTGAGCCTGGATGGGTGCAGCACAGCTCAGTCTCTGTTCTGAAAATCCTCATCAACAGGACCCAGCTCCTTCCTTTGTCACCCTGGAAGCTGTTACCATGGCAGCAAGCCAGGGCACCAAGGGCCAGGGCTGGGAAGGAAGGAAACCCTAAGGGGAACCAGGGCCCTGAGAGAGGCTTCAGAGGCAGGATTGAGTAGTGATACTAAGGACAGCAAGCAGGCTGGAAAGACCAAACCCAGACCATACTCATCCAGGCCTCCATGGGTCTTCAGGAAGCAGGCACTCTGTGATGGCCCTGCCCTACCCTACTACCTTCCAGGTTTTCTCCACATTCATGCTGTGGTAACTATGACACTCCAGGGAGTCAGGAAGAAACAGCAATAAGCAGAGCCTGCTCTTCCCAACCAATCAATGTGCTGTGACCATCATTTACCATGTGCCAAGTACAAGTTGCTTGACCTGTGTGCTGTCCAAGTCAGATCAGGAAACGAGCTTCTTCAGCCCCTAAGTGGTTCATCCAGAATGCAGATCCAGGCCTTCTGAAACCAAGTCCATTTGTTCATTTATTGCAACCCTGTTGAGCTAACACAGGGAGACTGAGAAGTAACATGTGGTCCCTTGGCTCAGGGAGATTTCAGACGGGTTGGTGAGGTAGAAGGTAATTCAACACACCCTGTAAAGCACTTAATGACATTGTAAATTCATAGTCACAGAATTCTTAAAGCCCACATCGAGCTCCCCACTGTAGACACTGGCTGACAGGTGCTGGAGGAGCAAGTTAGTTATGAGCTAAATGTTTCTGCTGCCTCAGCTGCTGCAGAACAGGCCACTGGGTACCGCAGCTCCAATGCTCAATGTAAATACTTAGAGACTAGAGGGACCTGACTCCAAATTTGCATAAGCCAGGGAAAGGAAATCCCCTGAGGGAAGGCAGTCTTGAGCAAAGAAAAGTCCAGGCCCTGTGGTTGCTTACCCCAGCTTGACAGCTGCTGGGGTTTTCTCTGCCAGCTGTAGTCATCTTATGGTTCTTAACTTGGAAACCTGGATCTCTAGACCTGGGAGACACACAGAGTGAGGATCACATGGAACTGAAAAGGTTTGCTAGGAAAAGGGCTGTTTTCACTGTTGGGTTCCAGACATGGCACTTGATTCTAAGTGTTTTCCAGGAAAATTGTCATTGAATCTTTTGGAATGAAATGGGAAGGAAGGAGGTCCTAAGGGCCCTGAGAGAGGCTTCAGAGGCAGGATGAGTAGTGACACTGAGTAGAGCAAGCAGGCTGGAAACAAAACACCTCAGAAAAGATAAAAATGTATTTACAGCCATTTACCAACAGCTTTAGGAGGGACCCTTTATTTTTTTCAAATCTGATTTCTTCACTGAACTTTTCATTTCTTAACCAAAATTTCTTGAAACGGATTTAAGACAAATGAGGCTCAGAGATAGGATACTATATGTCCAAGGCCTCAAGTTGGGGAGCTCAATCCTCACTAGGGATCTCAGGAGTCAATTACAAGACCAGGTGAGATGGGGGACCCATGATTCCCAGGAATTAAATTAACTCAAGAGGAGCCTCCGTGGCCTGAACTTGATCTATGTGGCAGAATGAAGCCGGGAGAAATAATGTACTGTTGTTGCCAGAGCAAATGCCAATGAGAGAAAAACAGAAAGAGAGAGAATCATCAGGGTTCATCTGCTTTGTTTGGTTTGGTTTTGTTTTTCTTTCAAATGATGCAATCCCCTTAGGCCTAGGATCAGGTTTAATTTACAGTAGGATCCCTGTAAGCAGAGACCAATATCATTTATCTTTCGTGCAACAGAACCACCGTTTTCACTCAAGAAAAAAAAAAAAAACTTTCTTGTGATACAATCAATGAGCACAATTCCTTCGTCGATTATCTGATTATCTGAGAATGGCACTAGGTTGCTCCAGAACTAACAATTTAAGAGCTCTCTAATGTATATCTACAGCTGTGGCCCCATCATACATGGGCAGTTTCATTATACTTTGCTGCCTGATTTTAAATCTAGATGGTTATTCTTAAAAATAAATATTTTTTTTTCCTTTATAAAATAAAACAATGTGTTCTAGGATCCTAGAAACTAAAATTGGCAAGGGTAGGGGTAGATCGAAAGACAGTGTGCCATTTAGATTAATAAATACTTTTATAAAATATTCATTATTCAACGATATCAGGATAATATAAGAAACATCAATGGAGATCATACAGTGACAAAGTAATGAAGAGTTAGGAAAATTGGGTAAATCAAAATCACCTGGGCCTCCTTTTTTTCCTTTTTTGGCTTAATGAATATCATTTATTCAGTATGAAATCTTTATACTATATGTTCCACGTGTTAAGAATAAATGTACATTAAATCTTGGTAAAAAAAAAAAAAAAAAAAAAAAAAAATCACCTGGGGACTTCTGAAAATTATATATAACCCTATCCCAGAGCTTTCAGCCCATAGTCTTGAAGGAACTGTTTCACCCTCTACCCACCCACTCCAAAACTTGGAAGAATCCTGGCCATTGCCAGCCACTGTTACTGATGAGAATATGGTGACCTACAGGATACCAAAGGCCAAAAATGGAGGAGGAGGAGGAGGAGGAGGAGGAGGAGGAGGAGGAGGAAGAAAAAGAGGAAGGTTGAATATAATAAGTTAGTGATTCATGATTTTTCCTTACTAAGAAACAAATCCAAAAACTAAGTTCTCTCTTTCCTGCCTCTTTGCAATTCAAAAAACCACACAAAGTGCTACAGACCACCCCAAGGCCCCCTGGGAATCTTTTTTAAGAGGTGTTAGGAGAGCTTCTCCAAACCCAGGATGCAGAACTCAGAGACAGCACGGACCACATGAAGTAGAGGGTGATTTCTAAAGCTCAGGAGAGTTCACACAGTCAGAACAGGGTCACAGCTCTCAAAAGTTAGTACCCAGCAAAAGAATAACTTTCAGGGACAATTTCATACCTGCTCTTCCATCAGCAGCAGCCAAAGCAAACATGAACAGGCTACATTCTATGACTGCTGGTCCCTGGGTCCCAAATCTATGCATCATGCTCCCCAGCACCCCAACGATGCTGGAGTCTCTAGTAAGAGTGGCCATTGTCACACTAAATTAGAAAGCAATAAGAAGTTCTGTTGTGCAAATGCACAGTAGGGTGACTATAGATAATAATAATGAGCTATATATTTCAAGAAACTAGAAAAAAAGTTAATGTTTTCATCATAAAGAAATAATAAATGTCTGAGGAGATAGATATGCTTATCCTGATTTGAACATACACAGCATAAATATGTATTGAAACATCATGTAGTACCCCATAAATATGTACTGTAAAAATTTTTATGTATTAGTTTAAAATATATATTGCAATTGAAAAAAAAAGTGGCTATTATCGACTTACACTTTGTTCAGGGCCTTATTATCCTAGACAGAGATTTGGTGAAGAATTATCACACTGTTTATGGAACGCAAATGTTTTAAAAATTAGGGTTGGAGAAGGGAATGATCCATGCCAAGAAAAAGAGAGAAGGGAGTTGAGTTAGTGACTCGGTTCAGGAAAGAAGAACAAAGAATTCTCTGCTGTAAAGTGACGTTCAAACTTGGGTGGGAATACTTTTAGCAAGTACTGCCTATGCAGACTTTTGTCCAAGACGTTGAAGGCCTCCATCAGAGTTCCTTAACTATACTCAGAGAACTTGTTGGTTTCTGATGAGCTGAGGTTCAACACACACACAAATAACTCTGACTCCTCTCTGGGACCATCCCTGTCACAATGGTAGAGTGAAAAGGAAGCATGAAGAAGCACTCATTCTCATTCTGAAATGAATTGCTCCTCAGAAAACCTGGAATGGAACCACCATTTGATCCATTTATCCTACTTCTTGGTCTATACCCAAAAGACTTACCATCAGCCTACTACAATGACATAGCCACATCAATGTTTATAGCAGCTCCATTCACAGTAGCTAAGCTATGGAACCTACCTAGATGCCTTTCAACAGATGAATGGATAAAGAAAATGTGATACACACACACACACACACACACACACACAATGAAATATTACTCAGCTGTAAAAAAGAATTACTTTATGACTTTTTGCCAATAAGTGGATGGATCTGGAGACATCATGCTAGGTGAAATAAGCCAATCCAAAAAAGCCAAATGTTGAATGTTCTCTCTGATATGCGGAAGTTAACACACAATAAGGGGAGGAGGGGAAGAATAGAAGTACATTTGATTAGACAAAGGGGAACAAAAGGAAAGGAGTGGGTATAGGAATAAGAAAGACAGTAGAATGAATCTGATAAAACTTTTCTATGTTTGTATATGAATATACCACCAGTGAAACTCCACATCAGGTACAACCACAAGAATGAGACTCTAATTAGAATTAAGTTATACTCCATGTATATATAATGTTTCAAAACACGCTCTACTGTCATGCATATCTAAAAAGAACAAGTAAAAATTTTAAAAACTATTTTAAAAGAAATTAATCTCATTACTTCCCCTCACATTCCTCTGGTCAAGGCAGCCACATAATGAAGTCTTCCGTCAATGGAACAGGGAAGAATGATTCTGCCAAAGGGAGGGCCACTTTCAAGAGTGAGTCTGAATATTTTGAATAATAAAAACCACCAAAGCACCCTCCTGGAACAATGGAGCAAAACAGGTTCTATTTTGCAGTGTACTCAGAAACCCTGAACTCTAAGGCTAACTCTTTCACTAGTTTCTCTGTGATCTTAGTGAAAGAGAAACCCACCGAGGAATGGCACATATTCCCCAGGAAGATCACTGCCCTGTTGCTCTGACAGCACATGTGTTTAACAGACTCTGGGAAGCTGTGGTCAGTTCAGACATGTTGCAGAACCTTAAAGCCTGAAGTCCTGGCAAAATTTCATTGTTAGGCAGAGAGACATGTTTATTTTTTTCAAAGGAGTAATTAACAAA